CACTTCTTAAGGACTTTGCTGTCTGAACGCGGTTAACGCCACATGTTTTTGCTGAATCTTAAGAAATGGTACTTTTACTAAGTACTAAACAATGAGCTGATTAATTAAATAGACAGAAAATTAAGCTATTTTGACAAAAATCAAAATACAAAAGTATCTAAAAGTTAGAATAGTTTGTCAAGACAAATCGCCAACATTCTCTAGTTAACAGCGTCTGAACTGTGAGGATTTGCTGCTCTTCTTTCTCTTATGCGATATCTGTTACTTAACCTTCTTACAGGTAAAAAATTAGCTCGTCTTCCCCGCATGTAGGCAGTAGCAGCATAATAAAATGCAGAAATTAACTGCACAACAGCTGCTAGCATAGACAACAAGGTCGGCAACACCTGTAATGCGTTATCCATCTTGAATTAACCACTGGTGGTCAAGGCTGATGTGTTTTCTTCTGGAAAAGGGCAACATGATAGAGGCGTGACGAATCAGGGAAACGGACGAAAATCGTCAGAGCAGTGTGGACACCCGGCGTAAACATAGCATAAGTTTTGTGTTTTAAAACAAAAGCGTATTGTTTGGATGTAGCTTTAGTTTTAGCAGCTTTGCACAACGTTGTGTATGTAGCCATGTAGGTGCACTGGAAACAAAAAAAAGCCGTAGAGCAGTTATTTCAACTGAAAAAAATCTTAACAGGCAGCAGTAAAATGAGATACCAGCAGTTTCCCCCCCCCCCAACCTCTGGAATCAAGGACCAATTGTTTCAAAAATTGCTGCAAAATTTAAGTTAAAAGTCTTCCACTGTTATGCACGTGGCCTGTATGTGAGACCAGAAAGCTTCACAGGCTTAGCAAAAGTAACTAAGGGGTCGGAGGTTAGCAAATAGCCTAGTTGCTGGGCTTCAAAAATGTCCAGTCTAGGAGTTCACATACAACTGGCACAGTATATATTAGAAACCTTTAGGGGTTTTGTATGTCAGACAAAGACAGGGACCCACATCATGAGGACCAGTTGTTAAAAAGAGTGGGAATGTGATATGTAGTCTGGGCTCGGATTAATGGGAAGCAGGCTACACCAGTGGGAATGGATTTATGTTGCCATCTCCCCCAAGGGTCCCACTGTTCTGTGCTAGAGCCCAGTTAGGTGTCTGTGTGTGTTTGTGTGTCTGGGTACCAGCAAAGCAGGACAACTCCTGAAGGAATTATCAATGAGGCCATTCATTCTGCAGTAACAAACGCTCCCTTTACCAAAGTGTGTTGAGGGGCCGGACTTACCTGAAATCCCTTGAACAACTACTAATGGTGCGTTCAAGTTGACATGTGAAGTCGGAAGTCAAAATTTCAAAAGGAACGCCCCCTTGAGTCGGAATCCCGACTTCGTGATCCAAGATGGCTGTCAGGGTATCAACAGTTAGTGAAAGTTCTAGTTTATACTGTTTATTAGCACTTCTGTGTACCTGTGTCTCATAGAATATACTAAATACTGCACAATGCGTTTTATTTTATTTTTTTAATCAACAGGCGTATCAATAGCTAACCTGGCTAGTTGTAAACAACGGCTGGCTGAGCGAGGTTTTACGACTTGTTAACTGGAACGCCGTCAACTCGGGTGTGACGTCATTACCAGCTCCGACTTCTGGGGAAAATGGAACGCACCATAATGGTTTCAGCAGATGAAAATGTTACAATACAAACTGACCCAACCCGTAGAGGGTTCAACAGCCAGGGGAAACTCTGTCATAACAATGATTAAAGATGCTTTGTCTTTATGTCTGTCTGGCACGCTGCATTTCCCAAATTTTCCAAGTAGAGACAATGAAAGACAGGATATTAAAGCTACTCATAGAAAACCTATGACACGTGGGAAGGGAAGGAAGAAAGGGTCAACAGGGGGTTAGTAAGGGTTAGTGCATTTAATCATGCACCTACAGTGTTAAAATACTGTCCATGTGATTTAAAACTTTAATTATAAAACTGCTTCTCTGATCCTGAATTGCAAGGGCCCCGTTTTCCCACATTTACGCAACGGATACCTGCGAACGATCACCCAAGCAGCAGCAACTAGTAAAAAAAGAAAAATCTCCTCTGTCCCTGATTGGTGGCATTTTGGGTTTCATCCCGATGATAAAGGTGAACCAGCCAAAACAGACGAGTCAGATGCAGCTGTGTCATTGGGTCCTCCAGAAGGATCTATGGAAGAAGAGCGCTTATTTCCTATCTATTCATTCTTCTATGGGCCATACGTAGGCTAATTGCATATTACACACACAGCCTTGCGGACAAAGTCATACATGCAACAATGACTCCGAAACTCGTCGTATGCCGTATACCTCTGTGAATTGTCAGCAAGATATGGGAGGTATGAAGAAATAGATACCTCCCAAGCCTCCTGACAAGGCATAACAATTATGATTAGATGTAACAATAAAGACTGTACAATGAGAATCATTTTCTGCCAACAGCCAAACTTAAGTGCCAGAACAGGTCCTGAATATGAAAGTAGAATAAAAACCACAACTGGATGGGTTAGTTTTGGAACAGCAACCTGCTGAGCCAAAACCTGACAACAGAAATATGTGATTAAAGAAAATGGGAAGCTTTTAATGCATTCACTACAACCTGAAACTAATAAACTGACTCGACAGATAAGGTGTGTATATTACTAATGACATGCCGTATCATTTTTAATGTGGTTTAAAAAAAAAAAGTAAGTTGTCTAATTACACGTCTCAGTGTTACACACTGCAAAAAAACACTCCTACCAGCTCCACGGTGGAAGAGCATGGAAGTGGTTTGGTTACAAAAGATCAGATGAACAAACCACGGTAATATGTAAGAAGTGTAAGAAGACTGCAACAACAAAAAGGGGGCAAGACAACAAACTTATTTCACCACCTCAAGGAAAAGCGCCCGGTTGAGTACGAGGAGATATCAAAATCTAAAATATTTTTCAGTATTTTGTCAAGAATATCGTTATGGCAGAAATACCTGTAAACACGGATATTATTTCACCCATCCCTTTCAACACATTGATTCAACTGCTCTGCCATCTACAAATTTGACTGACATTCAGCTGTAAGAGGTCAGCGTTTAAAGGATAACACAGACTTCAGCAGGGTGTGTGTTTGCATTAAACCATGTCCTGTACTTGTCTTTCTACAGGTCACGCTGCCACTAACAAATGGAAAATGAAATGCCAATCACTCCCTTTCTGAACCACAAATAGTCCTGGTTACACATTTATTTATAGACAACAAGCAGCTCAGGCTGTTTTGGGGACAATGGGGACGGGATGGACGGCTGCGCATGTGGCTGTCGTGTGATCTTTCCATTGAGCTCTGACCTTTAAAGAGCCGGGATGGGAAACTCATTCAGGGCAGAAAAGATAACGCATTAGAGACGCGGCGGTCACATGCACTGCTGCACCAAGCAGAAATCGAACCTGTGGATGTTTGTATTCAGTAGAGCTGCGTGATTAATGGATGAGTTTGCAACTATTTAATTAAGCTATTTTGATAATTGATTAATCAGCTTGAGATAATTGAAAGATTAATTAACATGAAAACTGTGACATCCACTCCATGTGCAAAAGCTATTGGTGCATTTTTTTTTTAAATAAAAAAAAAGAATACTCAGTTTATGCCATTTCTATGTAAATTATATTCCTCTTTGATCCTGCAATACACCCGGTACACCCTCAATATAACCATATTGTCTGCCGGTAACTTTTAGAGTTTAACATTTCCACCATGCAACTTATGGATTTGAATGTTAGCTTGCAGGCTAATGCACCATTAGCAGTCATTTGAAAGACTCTCTCAGCTCTATGCACATGCAGTGGATATTTCACTTTATTATAGATTATGTTTAATGTATTTTCCCCATCATTGACTTTAATTGGCTCTGGGGAGGGGAAAAAAAAGTCATATGCAGACTTCAGCTAAGGAGTCTAAAAGCAGATGTCCAGTTCTGACTAGGACGTTAACTGGATGATTTTGGGACATAAGTGGATCTTGGCGTAAGGGCGGGGCATTTTAACAGCATAATTAGGGTTTTGCATCCATGGCAATGACAGAGTTCTAAATTGATTGTTTAGTATGTGTATATAAGGATTATTTTTTAATTACACATTGTTGAAGCCATGTTGGTGAGAACATTTCAGAAAGTATAGCATATTAGAGTTAGTTACATAGAGGTGTTGAATTCTCACTGTTGCAGTCTAAACAAACTTTTGCAGAATAGGCTAGTTTGTATTGGATAATCTGTGGTAATAATATACAGATGGGTGACAAAGAAAGGCCAACATTAAATATCTCAGTGTGAATGTAAATGCTCCGTATTTGTATAGCGCCTTTCTAGTCTTTTCAACCACTCAAAGCGCTTTTACATATCTGCATTCACCATTCATTCACTGAGCCCAAGTGCTCAAACAGAAACTAACATTCACACACATACAGCCACCAAAGGCAATTCGGGGTTCAGTATGGAGTTTGTCAGCGTCGCTCTGGAAGCTGAAATACAGACAAAAAGCACGGGAAAGATTTTGGTCCTACTTTTAAAACTACACCGTGCTGACTCGTGTAACGTTAGAGTACCGTCTCAATGTTTGCTGGGTTGCGGTTTTTGCCACAGTGTCGTGCGGCAGCAGCCGGGTCAGATGCGAACACGGGCAACCTCACTGACTTCACATGTAAAAATAGCGCCAGCATCACGGCGCAGTGAATGAAGCTACGTCGGTTCAAAACGGCCCTATAAAACCCAGTTACTTTAATCATGTGCGCTCTGTCGTAATTAAATATAAGCGACAGCCGGAAGACAGAGACCGCATCCAGGAGATAAACTAAAATAAAGGGAGCTAATAATTTACAACTTATAGCTAAGCTAACGTTAGTCGCTCAGCGCACATCGAGATGTAACGACAAGAATAGCCGTTTAATTCAACAGCAGCCTCTTTGTCTCGACACACCACCACGCGGGGACGGTTTGTCCGCCGTACGCTCGTTCACTCACCGTGGGTGTTCGGCGGGGTCCGGTGAAGGCTCGGTCCCGCTTGTGTGAGAGTTGTCCGGGGTGTCCTTGCTCCTAACAATGGCTACACGTTTGGTCCAGCAGCAGCTCGGGGTACTGGGTACCACAGGCTGCCCAACTTCAGGGGATGGCGATGATGACTACTATAAAGCGCATGCGTAGAGCTCGGCTGTAAAGGAATCTAACCGCACGTGCAGAAAGAGGCACGCGCTCTTTAGCTGTGAATTCAGATACTTACAAAACAACACCAAGTATCAAGCGTAGACATACTTAATGAAGAGAAGTTACCCCTGTGAATGCATGTAGTATATCTAATGATGTGATATATAAAAGTACAAAATATCAGGAAAATATCCTTAAAATATGAAAAGTAGAAGTTCTCAACAAAGAAAAACGACCCCTGTGAGTGTATGCAGTTTATCTAATGATGTACAAGGCCAAAAGTATTATCAGGAAAATACAGGCCTACTTAAAGTACAAAAATATTAGGAAATTATACTTAAAATATCAGTAGAGGAGAAGTGGGTGATTTAGAAAAATGAGCCCTGTGAGTGCAAAAGTATTATCAGTGCTTAATGTGCTTAAAGTATAGAAATATCAGGAAAATATACTTAAAGTATCAAAAGTAGAAGTACTCAATGTAGAGAAAGTACCTCTCTGGGTTTATGTAGTATATCTAATGATGGACTAAAAAAGACAACAAAAGTATTCAGGAAAATGCACTTAAAGTATCAAAAGTAGAAGTTCTCAACAAAGAAAAACGACCCCTGTGAGTGTATGCAGTTTATCTAATGATGTACAAGGCCAAAAGTATTATCAGGAAAATACAGGCCTACTTAAAGTACAAAAATATTAGGAAATTATACTTAAAATATCAGTAGAGGAGAAGTGGGTGATTTAGAAAAATGAGCCCTGTGAGTGCAAAAGTATTATCAGTGCTTAATGTGCTTAAAGTATAGAAATATCAGGAAAATATATTTAAAGTATCAAAAGTAGAAGTACTCAATGTAGAGAAAGTACCTCTCTGGGTTTATGTAGTATATCTAATGATGGACTAAAAAAGACAACAAAAGTATTCAGGAAAATGCACTTAAAGTATCAAAATATCAGCAAAATATACTTAAAATATCAAATTAGAAGTATATAAGAGAAATTAACCCTGTGAGTGTATGCAGTTTATCTAATGATGGTCTTAAAAACAGTACAATGTCCTGGAAATATGCTTAAAGTATCAAAAGTATACATTCTCAACAAAGAGAAATGACCCATGTCAGTGTATGATGTATATCTAATGATGTACTACATAAAAGTACTTTCAGGATGATTTGCATGTCAAAGTGTCTTTGATCAAGATACTGAACAATGGCTGTTTCATCGATGTGTGAATGTTAATTTCTGTTCTGATGAGCAGTTGGCACCTCTGCCATCAGTATGAATGTGTGTGAATGGGTACTTTGATTGGTCGACTAAAAAGGTGCGATATGCAAATACAGATTGTTTGCCCCCCTACAATATCAGGAAAATATACTTTAAGTATGAAAAGTAGAAGTACTCAACAAATAGAACTGACCCATGTGAGTGAATGTGGTATTTATTATGATGTACTACATAAAATCTACTCATGAGGCAGTGACGAGGAACAAAACACTTGAATTTGAATGAAAATAAAACAATAAAATGCAGTTATTGTGTTGGGAAACTTTACAAGGTTCAGATGGCAGTGTTTCTTTACAGGGCTGTTTTATTTCATTGCATTATATCAAACAGATCTCCCATTTATTGTACCCATATTCACACGCAAGGTCAAAACTGTAAAAACAACATTTAAATACCGTTTTGACATACTTCTCTCTCCCTCTCCCTTCCGATATGCAGACAGGATGATCCTTGCACAATCTGAAAAGATGAGAAATGACTCAAGGCCAAGACTGGGTGTGTTGCAGAAAGAGACATGCTTATCCAATCAAATGAGGCTTGAAGACATTATTGCATTACAGCCATCCTTGACATCCTGCACTCTAATACTTTTTATCTCCTTTTATGTCTGTTACTATAATCACACATATTGCTGAACTTACAGCCCAAGGAAAACAGTGCTTCCTAATTTTCACAGGAATATACTTATGAAAGATGTTTTTCTACAGTACAGTGTTGCCCAGAACAGTTATTAGCAGTGGTGGAGGAAGTAGATACTTAAGTAAAAGTACCCATACCACACTGTAAAACTACTCCATTAGAGGCATATTGAAAAGGTTTAGTTAGAATAAGAATGTTTTAATAAATAAATGAAGAAAAATGACCTCTGTGAGTATCTCTAATGATGTACTACATGTACTTCAACACATTTCTATCAAATGAACATAGAAATAACAATAACTTTATTTATATAGCGCCTTTCAAAACAAAATTAGAAAGTGCTATACAGTAAAAACAAATAATACAAGTAACAAGTACCATCAGTTAAGAAAATACCAAAAGATAAAAGTGAGATTTAAGAAGAAATTTAAAAGAGAATTTGGGCTTGGCTTTTTCTAATGTTGGCCTTGTGTAAACTCCCACAGCATACAACAAGCAACGTTCAAGCTAGTTCATTGAATTAACATTCCTCATCTTCCAGTAAAGAAAAGAAATCACATGCTCTTGACTTCGTAACAGTAAATCCGACTTCGCTTCTGCAATACCTACAGTATCTCGGAGGGGGTGGGGGACAAGACGAAGACTGGGTCCACCTCTTTAATGTGCTTTTGTTTAATCACTCGTCATCTTCTGTGTCAAATGTTTCCAGTTGACAGCATGCGAGGAGGCTTTTGGCGCAGCGATGTGACAGCACTTAATTGGAATATTCACTGGAATATTTCTGCTAATGAGGGGGAGGGAGAAAGAGGCAGAGAGTGGAAGGATTGAGTTTGGAGGAGGACACTTTTGTTTGATTTTACGCTGTCCATATGTCCCATATCAGGACCAAACTTCTCAGATATCCATGATTTAGCTCTGAGAGGCTCCTGTCAGCTCTATTGGACTCTTTCCAACTAGGCAGCCGTTTTTCGCCTCAATATTTATCTGACCCCAGCAAGTAGGACATCAAAGACTGTTTGCTGATGCGTGTCTCTGTCCATTCACATTGCCCAATAAGACAATAAAATGTTCAAGGGAGATAGGGACTCAAACCCCTGTTTTGTTGCTTCAGCCCAGAGGGGGGAAGAGAAAAACAAACACATTGGGGGAGGCCTTAAAGAGACAACAAAGTTTGGGTGAGGGGGGATGGGGACTATAGGAAAAACTGAGAATGGAGAAACAGATTTTGGTTTTGGGGAGGGTTCAGCAGGAGATTTTGAGGCAGTAGGGATGCATGCTGTGAGGGAAAACAATGTTTTAGGGTTAGGGATGATCTCTCTCCGCACATAAAAAAATCCTCTCCATAGTTTGCATTTTTATAGTAGACTTTGAGACCATAAAAATGTGCAGAGTCCACTGTTGTCATGGCACACACACACTCATTTGAAGTAACACGCACAGAGATAAGATCCCTCTCTTACTTGCATGTCTGTCTTTCTGTCTTCATCTTTCTGCTGATGTCTGTTGTCTTTTCAGGTCTCTTATTCAGTGTTTGCCTTCTCCACACCTATTACAGGTGAGGTGTATTTGTTTAACTGCAAGTCTAACTAAAACCGGATTTCCTTCTGACACACACACACTCCTGCTCCTTCTCTGCATTAACACTAGGCACAGTGTATAAACTTGAGGTTATCATAGTTCACTGTAACTTTACAAGACTGAGTTTTGTTGCAGCCTTGCTAGCAGCTCTGTGAAGCTGGGCATGGGCACCGTCGAGCTAAATGCTAATGCCTGCATGCAAACATGCTCACAATGCTAACATTTAGCAGGTGTGATGTTTGGTGTGTTAACAAAAGACAAAGTGCAGCTAAGGCGGATGGGAATGTCATTAGCATTCCAGGTTTTTAGTCATAAACCAAAGCTTTGGACAAATTTAAATTTTGACCTGATGATGGTGTGAGATGCAAATATGCTTTGAGCTAAATGACTGAGTGAAAACATGCAGGTGTATTGTTAACCATCACTATCTTACATTAGTGTGTTAACATGCTAACATTTGAGGTTAATTTAACGTTTGTAGGTGTTTGGTCAATAATCAAAGACAAATGGAAAGTTAGATTTAGGATTTAAGTGGTCATCTACATTTATTAATTTAGCTGACACTTTAATCCAAAGCTACTTACAATTGCTAAATATGTCAGAGGTCACACACCTCTGGAGCAACTAGGGGTTAAGTGTCTTGCTCAGGGACACAATGGTGGATGGTTCACAGCGGGGGATTGAACCCAGGTCTCTCACACCAAAGGCATGTGTCTTATCCATTGCACTAGTAATCTTAGGGCTGGTGGTTTGATCGCAGGCTCCCCCAGTCCAATCGAAGTGTCCTTTGGCAAGATACTGAGCTTAATATCATGCACTTCAGATATGAAGCGCTGTATTGCTCTGAGCAGTTGGCACCACCTTTGCCATCAGTGCATGAATGTGATAAGAAATGTGATATAAAGCACTAGATGAAAATGTAGTAAAGGCATGAATGACTGGGAAAGTTCAACCAACCCACAATATATAGTTACAGAATACAATATATATATTTAAAAATTTGAGTTATGAATTATTCTGTTAAAGTTGGATAAAATGCAGTCATCTAAGGACTTCATAATTTCACCTACAAAAAAAGAGTACACACGTACAAAACAAGAAGTACTGTTTGTTTGTGTCTGTACAAATTGAGTCAACTTCCCTGCATGGATCCAACAAGTTGTGACGTCCACAGAGTGAAAGATAAACTTCTGGGTTTTTTTAGGTCAGCACTGCAAACTGGTTAAACTCCTAGTATTGATCAGTTTATCTCGCCCACTATGCTGTTGAACTCTTTGGCTTCCCACCTTCATCCTATAAATCCCTGTCCCTCTTACCTTTGTCCCATTAACTTTTGTCCGACTTTTACTCAGTCTGTCACCTCCTACTGTACTTTCACCTTTACAGAATAAATCACTCTCTGTTTAATATCTCTCCTTCAGTCACAAAATAGCTTTTCCGAATAGACTAAATGTGTGGGGTCAGCATCTCTCATTATATGCTTTCTGTCGCATGT